GGAGAGAGAGAGAGAGAGAGAGAGAAAGGGACAAATGGGAGTGTAGGCGTCAAGGAAGGGGGAGAGAAAGAGAGGGGACGGCGGGAGTGTTATCGCGTCATTTGTGTTTATTCGTTTACGATAACCGTTCATTTAAGAGCACGTGGTAGTTAGCCCATGTATTAACATCTCATATTTCTGAGTGATCTTCATGCATGTTTTAGCGGTTCTCGGTAATAGGTAAGTGCCCATTCTGAGGGCATAATGCATCTCATTGGTGTGTGCATGAGCACTCATGGCATCCACCGGGCTCTGACACCGTCAGATTGGTGCTTCTCAGCCGCCGCCCACGCTGGCGGGGGACGGGAGAGCCCTCTCTGTCCGACTGGGAATAACTTCAGGCCAGATCAGGTCGGGGGAACATAGTAGGCCAGGTCAGATGGCGGGCATGTCAGGTCATATCCGGTGGCGGAGCAGGTTGGGTCAGGGTTGGAGAGGAAAATCAGGTCAGGTCAGGGTGGTGGGGCATGCCGGGTCAGATCAGGGTGGCGAAAAAGGTCAGGTCAGGTCATGATGGTGGGGCACTCCAGATCAGGTCAGCATGGCGGGGCAGATCAGGTCATGCGTCAGGTCAGGTCAGGCCGGATGCATCTCATTGGCGTACACGAACATCCATGACATCCACCTGGTTCTGACACTTTCAAAACACCCAGACGTCATCCCAATCTTTTCTTTAAACATTTTTGCGAGTTTGGATACACTGATCGGTGGCTGCTACGGCGCTACGGTGTTACCGGCTCGCCGGCGGCCTGGCCGTGGCGGCCCTGCTGTCGCATCCGATCGGCGGGCAACGCCCCAGCGCGGAGACCGCACCAATCTCTGACCGGCGAACAAACAGCCGGTCAAGGCGTACAATGGGCAGGGCCGGCTCAAACAGCGCCGGTCAGCCGGGGTGTGTGTACCCACCTGCCGCCTTCACTGCTTGTACAGTCAAAAACCGGCTGGCCGCTGCCACTCGGCCGGTGTTGGCCGTCGGCTGGCGTCGCCGTCTCCGGCGCCCGTGTCCGGTCGTTCCTGGCGCCCGTATCCGGCCGTTCCTGCCGCCCGTGTCCGGTCGTCTCCGGCGCCCGTATCCGGCCGTCCCTGCCACTCGTGTCCGGTCGTCTCCGGCGGCCGTATCCGACCATCCCCGGCGCCCGTGTCCAGCCGTCTTCGGCGTCCATATCCGGCCGTCCCTGCCGTCCGTGTCCGGCCATCCCTGGCGTCAGTATTCGGCCGTCTCCGGTGCCCGTGTCCGGTCATCCCTGGCGTCCGTGTTCGGCCCTCTCCGGCATCCGTGTCCGGCCATCCCTGGCGTCAGTGTTCGGGCTGTCTCCGGCGCCCGTGTCCGGCCATCTCTGGCGTCCGTGTTCGGCCGTCTCCGGCGTCCGTGTCCGGCCATCCCCGGCGTCAGTGTCCGGCCGTCCCCGGCGCCCGTATCCGGCCATCGCTGGAGCCCGTGTCCGGCTGTCCGCGGCGCCCGGGTCCGGCCGTTTCCGGCGCCCGCGTCCGGTCGTCGCCGGCAGTCCGGCTATCTCGATGCCCGGCTGGACGCCCGGTCGGCTCCGTGTGCTGGCGATGCGCTGCGTGGCCCGCCACGCCAACAAAGTGGAAGACATTGCAGGCGGATGTCGTCGGAGGCGGGGCGGACGCCTTAGCCGCCGGGCCTGGCGGCAATAGTGGGTGGCCTTGTTCAGACGGCGGTCACATCGGGAAAGCCCGAATGAAATCCTCAGCGTAATGCCATCAGTGTCATGAGCACTTCTATCGTCACCCAAAACAGCCGACGTCACCGCTGCTCTCCGGCAGCCATGACCATAGCATGGGGCTCATATAACGACGCTTATGAGCTTCACGGCTTGGCCATGTGTGGGCACCCTACTGGCCACATCGCCTCCCATACCGGGCCAAGGAAGAAGCCGCATCAACCGATCATCGCAGCATTTGCCGTGCCTGCACATTGTTATCACCGCTTTGGTCCGGTTCAGCGTGAATGCAGATAGTTATCATGATGATTTATTACCGGGATCCAACCAGCCCAAACATCAACAACCAACACAATATAAGTCATATCACGTGGAATTCAGCAATCCGTCATGTAAACGTGACATACAACACTACTAAAGCAAATTTATAATGTGTCACTTGAAAAAAACAATTTTTGCTAAGGAAATATCAGTTGACAAAATGTCCCAGTGCTAGTGTTCTTCTCAAGAACTTTATAACGACAGACGACAAGGAATAAAACAAAAGTGTCGGATAAGATGCTTCTGTTCCGTAAAACGTTCCAAAGCCTCGAAATGAGGTGTAACCACGTTGGACAAAATCGGGGTTGACATTTTTTCAATCTATTCCTTTTACCGTTGACCTGTTGTCTGCCGGATTAGCAGAACCGTACAGCAGCTGACGGAGAATCGTCTGAAAACGGTGCCCGGCACCATCATTTTTGGTCTGTTGCTTTTACACAGAAACCAGGCGTGCCGCGCTAAAATTTCAAAATATTCGCCGGAGATATCTCCCCTTAACGCTTTGAAGTATCCACCGGCCGGCAGGCGCATATGCCGTATGTACGCTGGCCGTCACCGTTGGCCACCGTCCGTCAGTGTGCCGAGCAAGGGGGTTCGGCAGCGTGGCCTGGGCTCGGCGGCGTGGCCCCGTGCTGTGGGGCTCGGCAGCATGGCCTGGGCTCGGCAGCACGGCCTGGGCTCGGCGACGTGGCCCCGTGCAGTGGGGCTCGGCAGCACGGCCTGGGCTCGGCGGTATGGCCTGGGCTCGGCGGCGTGGCCCTTCGCAGTGGGGCTACGTGGTGTGGCCTGGGCTCGTCAGTATGGCCTGCTCTCGGCGCTGTCAAGCCAGGCGGCGCCGGCGGCAGCCGACCCGCGACCGCGGCCCAGCACCCGGGGCCGCGCCGGCCCGTCTTAAGCTGGCCGGCGGCCGGCGGCCGGCTTCAGTCGTCCGCCGGCGCCGCCCGGGCCAGGCTCGCTCCGCACGTGCCGCCCCACAGTCGCGACGCGCCGCCTCACGCGGCCGCACGCCCGGCGCCGCCCGGCGCGCCCACGCCCCGCCGCCGCAGACTGCGCTGCTCGGCGCGCGCGGTCCGGTGCTCACGCGACGCGGAACGTCCCGCGGTGTTCGGGAATTTGACGTGGTGCTGGTGGGGAGACGGGCTCACGGCGAGCGTGATTCTGAGAGGAAGCCGGTGACAGGAAGGGGTTCTCGACGCGGATTGTGAGGGGAACTCGAACAGCCGCGATTCAACGAGCCAGTCGCCGCTGCGCAACCGGAGATGACGGCCGGCGATGTGAACGCAGACTCGGTGACGCGTTTAGGTGAGGTGAGCCAGGAGGTGAACAACAACGGTGTCGTCAAGCACGAGGAGACTACGCTGCCCACCGCCGGACCGCTCAAGTACAGCCTGCGCGCGCGCTCTATCAAGAAGCGTATTGAAGCAGAGCGCCGACAGACCGAACCCCGCTCTAGGCAGCCGCGCCCCAAGGCGCGCCCACCGCCGCTCAGCAAATACCGCCGCAAGACAGCCAACGCCCGCGAGCGAGACCGCATGAAGGACATCAACTCGGCGTTCGAGATGCTGGAGCGCTCCATTCCTGACCTGACGTTGCGCTCTCACGCCGAGAAGGTGACAAAGATCACGGTGCTTCGGCTGGCCATCGACTACATCAAGGCGATGTCTGCGCTGCTGGACTCGGACGGCGCCTGCGCGGCCGACAGCCCGGGCGGCCCGGCCAGCGTCGTCTCGCTCTCGTCGGCCTCGTCGGCGCCGACGGACACCGCCGGCGAGCTGCCAGACCCGCTCGACACCATCGAAGGCCTCACCGACTTTCAGCTGCCCGGCGGCCTGGACCTGCTGCTCGACATCCGGAGCGACAGTGACGGACTCGACTTCAGCTGCTCCGACTTCAGCGACCTGTCTTGCCCGTGAGCGCACCCGCCCTCCTCCGGTGCCTGGCCTGACGGGGACCGGTCGCAGAAGGCGGCCCCGTCCGGACCCGGCTCCTCTGACCCCGCCGATGTTCTGCAGAGCTGCGGCTCGCCCAGGTGGCCACGGATGATCCAGGCTCCCCGCAGACGGCCAGGTGGCAGAGCAGCGTCACCGGCCGCATTTCGCGACCGCAGCGCCGCCACCGCTAGATTAAGGATAGTATAGCATATCATGTCAATCTAGTCCATAACTGTAAGCAATTTATCTCCGTCCGAGCTGGTGCCGATTACTTGCGGGACGCGGCAGACTGCGTGTGCAACGCCAAGCAATTATTGGGCTGCGCTCGTGCTTGGAGCACAATGGCGCTCGGCGGAGCACCAGTGCTGCACGTGAGGCTACGCACGCACGCGCCGGTCGTGAAAAATGTCCACAGATGCAGCGCCTGCATTGTGTATCTGAACATTGTTCAAATGTGTTTACCTCAATATCAAGTGGTTTAAATTACAACCTGTTTTAATGGCTTGCAGTGTCAGACCAGGAGCATCTGTTACTCACGAGCCCACCCTCATACGTCAAAACCTGTGGAAGGTGGCAAACGCCGTCTGCACTGGAAGGGCCACGCGCTCGGTGAAGATACGCTTTAGTGAAAAGTGATACAGAAGTAAAGTCATAGTCGCTACAGCCTGACATTTATAACATGCAGTGGGTAGGTATGTCATGTGCAGTAGATTGACTAGTTTTGCAATGCATTCAATGGAAAGTATTTGACGTTTTCTGTCACTTTGCTGACTTCTCAGTCAGCCTACGATTGTCCGCAGTGTCTCAGCTTTGGACAGTCTTGATATTACGGCTGCGCTGAGTTAGGCGCAGCATTTGATTTGCATGAGCTCATGAATGCATCAGTGTGTTTAACCTACTGCTTCTTAATATTTTCATTTCAACGTACTGGTGTCCCCTGGTGGATTGCCTTGTTTCATGGAACAAAACAGAGTACAACTCCATGACGATGAGGTGTGTCATAAGCACAACAGTATGCTGGGACTGAATAAAACAGCAACTGCTAAACACGGCTCGTGAGATCACAGGACTGATAACTTTGATGCATGACAGGCACACGCAACAGTCATCTCTGGGTGGCAGTGGCCGTTTTGAACACTGCCTTAACACGCGCCCGGGTGGCGAATTGAATGCGACGCGCGCGGCTGAGGTTCAATTCGGCCTCCTAAGATCTGAAAAACCAAACCAGCTAGAGGCACCAAACGTACAGAGAAGTTGGAGCTCTGTGTGAACGCCTCTGTGCCAAATTCTGCAGTCCTTAGGTTGTGGTCTTTGGTGACATAAGGTCAGGTAAGCCAAACTCCGGGCCCGTGTCCATAATACAGTCATATCTTCTGATGCGGCCAGCTTAAGCCTGGGTAGCTACAAGCAGAATTTCACTGGTGTTCACATCAGGCCAATCATCTTATTTGACCATTAGCAATAACAGTTACCGAAAGCCTTCGGGATTGTTTCGATGCATGAATTTACAACCGATAACAAGTACTACTACGGGCGGTATGATCCTCAGAACAAAAGGTTGCTCGAGATAATGTTAGATCAGCGACCTTCCTAACCTTCAGGAAGAAAACAATACATCTTTTGACGCCAGTAACGTCCAGAAATTCAAACTGAGAGCCAAAATCTCTCCATTAAAGCAAGTTAACCGGCGATAAACTGACTTGGTTTTGGCCTTGAGCGGGCATTTATGCCTGAACCAAGGTCAATAAAATTGATCTTGGATCACTGGCCTTTGATAATGGTCAATGCTTGAGGTACGGCAGCGAAATGGAACATTTCGTTGCCGTACCTTATTGAGCGCTTTGCTGGGAACTGCCCGCGCTGACAGGCACGGCCTGACTTTGACCTGCCATAGGCCTTGCAAGGTAAATGTAATTTCTTCAACCTAAAGATCAACCATGCAATTTCCAAACTACGTAAAAACATGCGTGGTCGCGCCGTGCCGTTTGGTAGATATTTTGGAAGCCCTTCGGGCGGGTGTGGGGAAATTGACCCTGTCCGTACCGAGGGCATTTGATTTGAACAAACGATAATGCGACAAATGTTAAAGCAAGCAAAACAGAAAAAGCAACAGCTTAAGTGGGTTTGAACTATCACATAAAAAACGGCTCACAGATTAGGAGACAATGCAAGTAAGAATTACCAACGTTTTGCTATTCCAGATTTTCTGTACTAACCTACAGTTCGCCTTTGTGCACGTCTGCAAGCTGACTTACGATTCTTTAGAGATCGTTCCATTCAAGCTGTATCTGTACAGCTGGGTAGGATGTTTTTTAGGCGTCGTAACTGTTTCAGTGAACATGCTCCGAACTAAAGGTATGATGAATCGAAAAATGTTTATACTTGTGCTGGCAGACTTAAAAAGCTGAGGTTTGCCAAAATGGTACTAAACGTTGGTTGCGCACAAAAAGCCTAGAAAACTTACCCCCAAAACATGTTTCTCGAAGGTGGGTAATTGCATAGTTGCGGATGTCCGTCATTGTAAGATTAGTTGACGTGAAGATACATTCGATACATTACCGTGTGATAGCCTTTGGTGCTTGGAATGGTGCTGTCTGAAGATATACAACAGCACTTCTTATAAATGCCATATAAAGTTAATGCTTATAAGATTCGTTCAAAGCATATCAGGAAATTACGGGGCTGTGCAAACATAGGGTAGGTAGGGAGAACATATATGCCACCCTATTCTCAAGAAGGTAGCGCTCATATTTACGCCAACAAACATGAACGCGATGACATCTAAATCCTATATCATCAAATATTACCTTGCACCTAAATGCGATCGTGAGCTAGAGAATGCATTGTTTATGTGACAAACACATTTTGGGGTTCGTTTGATACCAAAGTCAACACAATCAAAGGTAAGGTGCGGAAGGCTGGAATGACCGAGAAGATCTGCTGAGTCATATCGTATACTCTAAACTGAAGTCTTGAGCTCGAATGGCAGACAAGAAATGAGCCAACAGCCTTACATTCTGACAGACATGCCCTATTCAGCTCAGTTTTGAGCTTTATGTTTTATGATAAACCATAAAATGCTAATCAAAGCGTAACAAGAATCTGGAGCCTGGACGTTCATGGAGCATGGGAGCACCTGGAATCTGGAGCATGTGAAGCCTGCTGAAATGACTCGCATCCAGTAGATACGAGCTCAGCGCGGAGATAGACAGGCGGACTAGACAGGACGTAGGTAAAAAACAAGCGCTCGTGATGTTCACCTGGAAACGCTGCGCGTACAGCTGGCTTGAATCGGATCAAGAAGGGCTCAACATGCCCAGAGCCAGTTCTTGAAGCTTGGCATGGTCTTCCACTGGGGCAAAACACTGACGGAGCGCCTCCACGGCTGTGCTTAAAGTCTGGTGTTGTCTATATTGCAAAGACTCTCAAATACCTCATGGGCCGGCCCTATCAGACACGGTGGTAATTAGAGGAGCTGCTCGCACTCAGACCATGAATGCAGCTGTGCAAAGATGTTTAAGTCTGATAAAAATCTAGCTTAACTGCCATATCGGCAATTGAACAATGGAGGTGATCAACCACACTTCATTTTGGAGACTTATTGTGGAGCTGCAGGAGAATGGGAAGCCCAAGTGGATTACTGTTTTAAATGTTTGGCCATTGTCTGAGACAGCATGCTTATTATCAATAGGGGCTGGTGGGGACAATCTGTCCAGTTGATTCATTCCCTGCCTAGAAGCAAATGCTATGACCACTGCAAGTGGCGATACCACCTGTTGCGTTGGATAGTTAATGCGGTATGCGTTGTAATTCGGCCCCTGTCGTTGAAAAATGGAATTTGATATTGCAGATTAGTTTGATGGAATAGCACTTTAATCGGTTGGTTTTGTTTTGGACGGAGATCACGAAATCAGATGATCAAATTGAAACATCCCAATCCGAAACCAATTACAGCGTCGTTTCCAAACTGAGCTTGTGTTGGTTATCGTGCGTGTGATCATAACCTGTCGAAGCCCTTTGGTCCCATGTCACCAACCTGCTTTTAAAGGAAGTGTTCCACATTAATGCGAGGTTTTGAGCTGAAAGGAGCCATATTGAAGACCTTTCGGTCCTGTTCACAATCCTGCCCATCTCAACAGTCAAACCCTTCATTTCTGAGCTACATGAACGCGAACATGGGGAAAGGAGTATCGAGGAGAGTATTTCAAAGTCACCTTGGCATTCTTGACGTCATAATGATGCCATTTAAATTCTGCCATTGCCTTAGTCATGCGGCGATCAAGGCCAAGAAAAGCATAGTTGTCGAGGCATTTATATTTGGCGTTCGTGAGCGCGATTTCCAGATAAAACGGCCGCCAATCGGCTCTCAATAAATGTTGTGCAAGGTACAATGATGTCATCAAGCCATGACGCATTGAGGAGAATATTTGCTAAACAGAGAATAGTGTTATCTAGAGCAGTCGTTTCCACTTAAAAAGCATATCAATAGTTATAAGCGAGCTTGTTACATGATATCTGATGTTTGCTTCAATATCTCCAAATGTGAAACATTCCCTTTAGGTGTGTGCGCTTTTGCCCGAGCATTTCAGAGATACGCAGGTTTGGTGGTCACTGACCACATTTCACACCATAAATAGCTATTTTCTGAAGTTTGCAGTTCAAATGCATGCTGCACAGCCCCCTTTACTCGAGGACTCTTGCGAAACTGGAAACGGTTCAGCACCGAGTGAGCTAAGTTTGTACCACACGTATAGCGCAGGGAAGTGGGCAAGCAAGGCCATAGCTCGATGGGTGGTGGATTGAAGAGGCGCTAAAAACGGTCCAATGAGACCACCAATCCCATATCTTTGATCTCCAATGGAACAAATTCGCGTTGCATCATTGCATGCACATGCACCGGACTAGACAACGAACAGCTGGCTTGAATTAGAGAATCGGACCTGCCATACAAAATCATCGGCCAAACCGAGCCTCTTTTCATGTCGAAATTATCAAAATACCCGTTTAGAAGTAGAAGTGGACAGTTCAGATTAAGTGGAAGGCAGAAGGCCGTTTTAGAGAAGGTGGCCTGAAGCGTGGAACTCTTATTCTCCCGAGGGGCCTCGCCATGCTAGCAAAACCCCAAAACACACGATTACTGACAAGTGGACAGCTTGGGCTGCAGACCAAGCAAATACTATTGGCTTGCGATGCCCCATTGCCCTGAGTTAATGCAATAACCAAATGTCAGGGCAAATCCTGTGATAGCGGTTCTGTAAGTTTCCGATAAGTTAAGTTATTTAGTTGCCGGTGGCTATTCTGCAGCTTTGCATGCCAAGTAAGACTCTTTGCACTCTTGGCTGGCAAAAAGATGGAGGCAATCCGATGATGTGGAACGGTACAACTTGAAAAGTGGGTTCGCAGTAGTCGTCTAATTGTGGACTTCGTTCTTAACCTTCCTTTGCCAGTGGTCTGAACTCAATTATCACGCAAGCCATCGGCATTAATTGCTTCTGAAAACCAAGAATGGGACGGGAAGCGGCGCCAATTACGCGAACGTATCTGCGATTTCCGTGGCTTCTGGTCCTCCTGGCGGTGTTGTGACAGGCAACGGTGGCCGACTACGGTCATGCCATGTGCTAACCCAGGTGAAGCACGTGCAGGTGGGCCCAACTCCGTCAGCCACGAATGATACATCGAATGCGGTTTCGTCGTACATGCACGTTTTTGCGGACATTTGACAAGACATCGTTTACTCTGCATGTTCGTCACGTAAGGCATTCCTCCCAACAGTACGCTAAAAATGTGACCAGTCGGAATAACCAGTCGGAAATGCCTGCTGGCGAGACTGAGGCCGCTCATCTGGGGTGACAGGCCTGAGAGGACGCTCTCGCAGAATCCTCTCCGGTCCCTCACCGTCTGCACACGCCGCCGCCGCCGGAACCCGCCACACGCGATGCTCACCCCTCAGCGCAGCCGACCGACCGCAGTTGCATATTTTGACGGCTTCATAGCCGGATTTCGCTAATGCGAGCGCAGCAATCTGGCGACCTTGCAGAGAG